ATTGTTGGTGATAGTGTACAGGTCTGTTTCTTTTTTATTATCATTTTTGGAGGGATATTAACAAATTCAAGATGTTATTTTTTTATGATTAGCATTAAGATTATAAACAGGAAGAAAATACTTTAAAGTTTTTCTCAATGACACAGAAAGACCGTGGGTGGCTACTTCAAAGTGAAATACCTTTCTTTAACGGCCCTTAATGAGTTACAGCGTTTAACAGCCTTGACTAGCTATGCCATCTGGGAAAAAGAAAACAATATATACCCTTACTAGTGAAGCAGTCTCGTGTCTGTTTATGAAGGACCTATGCTTTTATTCCAATAACACTTTCTCTACACAGGTGGAGCGCTGCCTTTTTATGATTGAAGGTCCTTTGTTATAGAGAATGCATTTATGAGTGGCCTGTATCATGTTTACAATTAAAATGTAGCATGATTTGTAATTTGAATGAGAAACCTGTGGGCGAAAAGCCTTGACAGTTTTTTTTTAAATCGATCATTGTTTAAGGCAACCGGTGAGACCTCTTTATAACAATGGGCATCGCAACAAATAACAATCTGCCATTCTGAAACGCCACATGAAAAACTGTTAAATTGTTATTCCGATTCAACAGCTACTTCAAAAGGCGGAAGATTTTGGCTCTCAATTCAAAGGGACGAGCAAAACAATGTCTGTTTAGGTAAGAGCATTTACAACATACTGCTCCGTCACGTTGCTCTCGCAAACAAAGATGGATAGGCCAGAAACAAGTCATTTAATTAGCGCTGGAACCCCCGTCTCCGACTCCGGCAGCCAATTACACATTCCAACGGCATCTGCAGGTCCTATTTCACTGGAGGAAAGCAAATCTTCCCTGGCTCGGCTTCATACAGTACATCTTTCCTCTTCCATTTAAGAGAAGGTAAATAGCAGAGATGGACAGCTTCATTAGACAGCATCTGAGGAGCAGGCAGGGCGGATTGTCGCTTAAATAGTGGGCTTTTACTGGAGGGCTAACCGGCAACCTCAGATCAATTACAGCTGACATTATTGTTTGTCGTGAGCTCTTCCAGGACAGAGGAGTAGAGGCAGAATGGGTCCAGGCTCTGCTGAAAATGTAATTTTCCTCCTCTTTTGCTTTCATTCCACAAACAATAAATCACTCAGTTGAAGAGATAATAAAGTGCCAAGTAGGAGCTGGTTTAATTTTTGTCAAGGGAAAGCTTCCTCCCTCACAGGATAATGCAGGCTGCTAGTGCTCAGAAAGCCAGCTTTCACCAGACAATGGCTGCTTCAGTCTGCCTCTTTTTAAGGATTACTGGAATCAAAGTTCATCTGTTTGACAATAATATCTCAGTTCTTAATTCATGCAAATTGCAGCAGTTTATCCCTCTTGTAGGCTAAATAAGTTCGAAAAGAGTAGGCAATGACATGACGCGCTTAAAAAAAAATACTTTTTTGTCCGGATCTTACTTAAAAATTACAGTATTAAAAATTAAATTCATTCAGACAATGACCTGAACAGCACATCCTCTATGGTGAACACGTTTTTAATTCCTGAGTTAAATTAAATTTTATATTTTTAGTGTAGTTTAAAATCAGATATATTATGTGGTTTAACTGCCCACATGAATAATAATAATAATAATAATAATAATAATAATAATAATATGTATTATTAAGAAGCAAGCAAGGTTTTATCCTTGGTTCAGGTCAAATCCCAAGAAAATGATAACATATACAGCGGTGCTTAAAAGTTCGTAAACCCTTTAGAATTTTCTGTATAAATATAACTCAAAAGATCATCAGATTTTCATGCAAGTCCTGAATGTTGACAGAGGACCCAATCAAACAAATGAGATGAAAAGATACTTTGTCATTTATTTAATCAGGAAAATGATCTAATATTACATATCTGTGAGTGGCAAAAGTATGTTTAACAGTTAATTTTAAGGTGAAATTAGAGTCCATCTGTTCAGAGGTGTTTTCAATGACTGGGATGACTATCAGGTGTCAGTGTGTGCCCTATTTTATTTAAAGAACAGGGATCTATCAAAGTCTGATGTTTGTAGAAATGAATCATGGTACAAACTAGGGCTGCACGATAAATCGCATGCGATATTTAACGCGCAAAGGAGATCTCTGAGGACCTTGGAAAAAGTGTTGCTGTTGCTCATCAGGCTGGAAAAGTTTACAAAACCATCTCTCAAGAGTTTGGACTTCCCAAATCCACAGTCAGACAGACTGTGTACAAAGGAGCGGTCCACCAACAATGATCACTCCAAAAACAAGATGTGTTATAGTCTGCGAGGTTGCAAAGGACCCTAGGGTAACTTCTAAGCAACTAAAGGCCTTTCTCACATTGGCTAATGTTAAAGTTCATGAGTCCACCATCAGAAGAGCACTGAACAACCATGATGTGCATGACAGAGTTGCAAGGAGAAAGCCACACAAAAAAAAAACTGCTGCCCATCTGCAGTTTGATAAGGATCATGTGGACAAACCAGAGGGCTATTGGAGAAATGTTTAATGGATGGATGAGACCAAACTAGAACTTTTTGGTTTAAATGAGAAGCATTATGTTTGGAGAAAGAAAAACACTGCATTCCCTTATCCCATCTGTGAAACATGGTAGTGGTAGTATCATGGTTTGGGCCTGTTTTGCTGCATCTGGTCCAGGACGGCTTGCCATCGTTGATGGAACAATGAATTCTGAATTATATCAGCAAATTCTAAAGGAAAATGTCAGGACATCAGTCTGAGAACTGAATCTCAAGAGAAAGTGGGTCATGGAGCAAGACAACAACCCCAGGCACACAAGTCATTTTACTAAAGAATGGTTAAAGAAGAACAAAGTTAATGTTTTGGAGTGGCCAAGTCAAAGTCTGGACCTTAATCCAATTGAAATGTTGTGGAAGGACCTGAAGCAAGCAGTTCATAGAAGGAAACCCACCAACATCACAGAGTTGAAGTGGTTCTGTACTGAGCAATGGGCAAAAATTCCAACAAGCCGTTGTGCAGGACTGATCAGCAGTTGCAAGAAACGTTTAGCTGCTGTTATTGCTGCAAAAAGGGGGTCACACCAGATACTGAAAGCAAAGATTCAAATACTTTTGCCACTCACAGATTTTTAACACTGGATCATTTCTCTCAATAAATAAATGACAAAGTATATATTTTTGTCTCCTTTGTTTGTTTGATTGTATTCTCTTTGTCTGCATCTATCTATCTATCTATCTATCTATCTATCTATCTATCTATCTGTCTGTCTGTCTGTCTGTCTGGTATTCATAGTAACAGTAATTTTTGGTTGATGGTTAAACCTGTATTAAAGGGGTCATATGATGCGATTTCAATTTTTCCTTTCTCTTTGGAGTGTTACAAACCCTTTAAAATAATTATTTGCCTTCACCCTTCAGAGAGTATGACATTTATATTTGTCTAATTTCTAATGTATTCTCAGGACTCTACTGTAAGTTTGAATTGACACAAATCGTCCAAATCTTTACATCTTGAAATAAGTATAAATTAGTTGCTCAGGTGTCTTATATTTTCATTGATTTTGTTCTTTTGTAATTAAATCAATAATCTGCAACACAACAGAAAAGGGTGTCTTTATGAAATAAAAATCTTTATTAACAAGATAAGTTCATTAATATAGTAAAATGGCCTTGACAGTGTCTGAAGTGTTTTTTTTTGTTTGTTTGTTTTTTTCAAATCTGTTGAAAACTACAAAAGAAGAAAAAAAAACAGTTGATGAACAATGCGACTGTTTCATCAGACATCTGGATTCTAGACATCCACAGTTCATCGCCTTTCAGTCTGTCTGAAAAGCCTTGGTGGACCTCTTTTAGCTTGTATCATGTTTTCTTATGCTTTTCAATAGGCCATTATGGCTGAAACATCACTTAAGGATGGCAGAACATGAAAGGAGGTGGGACGGGGAGAGAGATTAGGCCCCTGAGAGCAGTCTGCTACTTTAAGCCCGCAGTCATTCACACACGCAGAGTTCTGCTTTGTGGAAGTCGGTCAACACAACAGACATCATTCACAGCCGGGCTGATAAAGGACGCCCATTTAAATGACAAAAGCAAAGTCATATCAGACTTTAATACGTTTCTCCTCCCTCTTGAAATCCAGTCAGATCTTCTTGAGCGAATCACAAAGGCATGCCGGCACTCAATCTGGCTTTCGAAAGCTCTGAATGTAGATACGTGCATGAATGCCTCTCTCAATTTGTTTCGACGTGGGGCTGTAAGTATCTTGCAATCACACGCTGGCGCCGTGGCAGGTTTTAATTGAGTCCGGTCCTGCGAGCGGTAATTGATTCAGACTCGGCACTCGAGGAGAGACGCCTTTACAAGGTGCTGCTTGGCCTCTCGTTCTTTTAATCTCCGCCTCCTTTTTAATGTCGGGGAATGTGTTTTCTCTGTGCATCTGCTGGTCATCTTTCTTATGGAAATGTACAATGCTTCTCCGAGGAGCGGTGACACTGAAGCCCCCCCCCCCCCCAAAAACATTTTTTTTACCTTATTTTTCGGCAGATATTTTGAATGCATTTACTATTAATGGTGAAATATTTCCATAATTTTTCCCTTTCCCAACATAATAAAGATTAGTTTAAATTTCACAATTATTAGGTTATTATGACTGCAATCGCCGTAACGCTATATATTATTAACAGCGATATGTATTATTAACAACGAAAGTGAATATTTATGTTTCTAATGACCATAATGGCTTGAAAATGCTGCAATTATTAATTTTTTTATAGTCGTCAGATAGCTTTAATATAATACAGTATCTAATATGACGATTATTATTTAATGAATATTTACTCTGTAAGCGACAGCGCTTGCACAATAGGTCACATGTGAATAATTCATAGCGTTTCTCCTTTAAATCTTCCTCCCTTCTTCAGCAGTATGCTTTCTTTTCTGTCGCACACGCGTCTTCCATTTGCACACAACTTAATGCCAGAAATGATTAATTAATCAGCTACTCTCCTCTCTCATCTTCAGGCTTGGAACTGCCGTTTATGATGATGCCCCACCCCCTGATCCCTGTCAGCCTGCCTCCCGCATCCGTCACCATGGCGATGAGTCAGATGAACCACCTCAGCACAATCGCCAATATGGCCGCCGCAGCACAGGGACAGAGTGCCCCATCCCGAATGGTGACATCAGTGATTAAGGTAACCCACGGTGCCGTTTTCTCATTGTGTCGTGCACATCTCTCATCAGCCATTGAGGGAAGGTGGAGGGGGCTGCGTGATCTGTGCTTTCATACGGCATTGCAGGGAGCAGTCAGTCAGACAATAGCCTGGGAAAGAAAGCAGGGAAAGGATGCAGAAGGGGTGGGGGGCGACAGTGTCTCAAAAACAACAACAAAAAAAAGCACGGACGCTTGTGTGTATGTGGAAGTGTGTTGCTGAAAAGAGTGTGTCATGTAATGGCCGCCCTAGCTGTGTTTGTTTTTCCTGTTGGCTGTGCAGGAACGCGTCCCCGACAGTCCTTCCCCTGCCCCCTCTCTGGAAGACGGCAGGAGGCCGGGGAGCCGTCCCTCATCCCAGCGCAGCAGCAGCGTCTCCAGCTCTCCCGCGCACACGGAGAACTCCTCCGACAGAATGCGTATGTTCACCTCATAAATCTCTCTCCCACTCTCTTTGTCTCTCAATTTCTCTCCCTCGTCTCTTCCAGCATCTCTGCACACCGGCACACACGCGTTCAAGAGCTACTAAATACCGCACTAAAAATGCCTCTTGTTAAGAGCGTAGCACATGTGCGTCCCTTCCCCACTTTCTGTTGTTTTCAACTGATGGCACAGAGATATATTAGTTGTTTTTTAATCTTAAAGTTTCGATCTGGCTCATGTTGTGCAAAGACAGACCTCAAATGTTTTCATCATTAGCTGTGCCATAAAATAAAAACAATGTATTTGATCACTTGAGAGAGCCTGTATGTATGTTTCTCGTCATCTCTGAAATATGCTACCATGTTTTATGGTGCTATTCTGGCGTCTTAACGAGTAACTGTTTGTTTTAATTCAAAACTTATTTGAGGTCCAAAAGTTGCATTGAAAATATGGGGTTTGTATATAAAAATATCTTTTTAAAAGAATTAAAGAATTTTCAATAAAGAAAATGTATGATGTAAAATAAATAAGACATTTAGGCATATTAATAAAACTATGCTCAATTTCTAAGCCACAAGTCAAATTACATTTTTGTCAGTTTACACAAACTTGTGGAGTTCCAGTACTGTTTTTGTTGAAGCAAACCCCATTGTTTAATTAGTACGAGAACTGTTTACTTTTTTTGCCTTTTTTATTTGTAATTAAATTTTTTCTAAAATTATTGTGCTAGTAATATCATCTGTAGTGAAGAAATTTTATTAAAAATACTTTTACTAGTGGTCTCAGACTTTCACATGTTTTTGTAAAGAGGCATTTATTTATAAACAGACAGTTGTATATTTTTTACTTTTTTGCTGAAGTTCTCTTGTCTCATCTCAGATGTTATAGAGAATTACACTGAGAAATGCACGCACCAGGCAGAGTGGCAAATGTGATTTTGATTGACTGGCGCATTGATTTGGAGATGAGGTATACCACGAGTCACAAACAGTTGAAAGCCAAGGACGTATTCACCTTCTCTAGCCACTGGACAATGAGGGCTCTTTACAACTCAAATCATTATTTATCACTCGAGGTGTTTTGCGTTGTCGATTGAGAGCGTGTGGAGATGGGAATAATGTGTCTCTGTGTTCTCTCAAAGCTGTGCATCAGAACGGACTGTCAATGAACCAGGCGTTACTGGGCCTGTCTCCCAGCATCTTACCTGGGCCTAAAGAGGGCGATCTGGCAACTCATGACATCAGCCACGAGGCCAAGAGAATGCACCTGGAGAAAGGTCAGAGTTCAGTACATTAAACAACACATAACACTATTGTTCCCTTTCAGTCAGTCACTACGAGTTACGTCGTGACCGACGAATTGGGATCTTGCTTAGAGAGACCAATCCACTTCGAGTGTAAACTAAACGAGTCAATGCACATTGGCATGCGATGATTGCATCCAGCTGCCGCTGATCACAGCATGAGCATAAAAAGGCAGCCGGTGCAACGCATACCAGCTTTTCGCTTCGAAGCCGAGCGACAACATCATTCTGCTCCTACGAAACTGCTTCGTGTGTGACGAGTCTAGCGCGCTCTCGGGAGCTTTTTGTGTTGGCGGATGGTGCTTCAGCGGTGGTCGTTCCTGTGTCGAGTGGGTTGCGCACTTCAGGCTGCATTACCCCCTCTCGTGCTGCAAATGGCCGTTTCCTCTGTGCGTCTCAGCACGTAAAAGAGCATTTCCCTAAAAGAGCCAGTTTCTCTAAAAGACTACAATAAGCGGGTCTTATTGTCTAATAATAATCGTCAATAATTGTCTTTTTAAAGATGCCATTTCACCCGTGCGTTTCTGGATGCTGTCGCTACCTGGTGCCGGGTGATGGTCACGATCGCTGCCTCACGTGTCTGGGCATTAAACACGCTGAGGTGGCGTTCACGGATGAGTCATGTTCCCATTGCGGGAAGATGACCATCTCGGAGCTGCGGGCCAGGCTCCGTTTCCTCCAGGGGGGCGGAGCTCCAATGACCTCTGCCACGATCTAGTGTTCGTCCTGGCGGCAGCCAGGCGTGGACTACTTCGGGCAGTAGCACGGGCGGTCTGAGGGTTACA